CTATTTAGATTGTACATGGTGAAAAAATCAAAACATTAGCTAAATAAGAAACATATTAGCAAAATAAATTATCAAATATTGCTTCACTAATATTCTGCATTTTAAAGCGTGAAAATTCAATGCATAAATAAACGCGAAATATAAAAAAATTCAATGCATTCAATACAAACACTTAGACGTTTAGGTAGCTCCCATTAGAAAAATATCAATTCAACAGCGGCCTTTTAAAGCATTCTCACTTCAATTAATTAATTAATTCCTAATTGAGTTTAAATTAAATATTATCATGTTTTTAGGGCATGAATCTGAATTGAACAACCTGATAATGCTCACTCTGGTTATTTTTTCCGTTTTTAAAAGCGCTATATGTTGAGCCACCTCATCTAGATTTGCCATGTGATATTTTTATCAGCAATCATTGGTCGATTTTCTAACGTTGCCATTCGGGGAGTTGTAATATGGCTTTTTTTTGGTGCCATGTAAAAGAAATATATATATAGATCTTCTAGAATAATAAAAAACATTCAGTCGGCAAAAATGTGAGTCTTGATGCATATGAAGAGAGTCAGAAACAAGTTTTTTTATTTGATTTTGGTAGAGATGTGGATATATTGAACATCTCTATATTTTAGAGAGGAGTGAAGTGGCCCAGCAGGTTGTCAAAAAGGTGCCAAGAGAGGAATGCATCAGAATGGATAAAGACATGGACTAGTGGGTCGCTGTTCATCCCTCAAATTTCATCAGTTGTTGGAGAAAAATAAAGAGATGATCAACAGGAGATTGAACGCAGGATTTGATACATCTTTAATCAAAAACCAGTCTAGATGTTGAAGATTGGGACCATATTTTAGAATGATTACATGTTCATCAAGTTGATGGAGGAGATATATTTGGGAGCAAGTTTTAGGAGTTTCTTGGCACAAAAAAGAATCTTAAGGTGCTGTGAGAGGACGTCATTCAAGCCCTGGATTGGAGCACAAGGAGAAGAACAAAATTTAAGAGTAGATTTCTGGCGTTATGTGCTTGGTTGATGCATGTATCAATCTTCGCGGGGAACGTGTTGGTTTAAATACCACATTTATTTTTTGCCAGAAAATTTAAATTATTAGTAGGCCTATTTCTTCCCAAGTGAAAACTAAAGCTTAATTTTTAGTTTAAATACGCCATAGAAGAAACGTGCAACAACTAAACTGAAAAATTCACAAAATCTCATGTGTCGATAAAAGAGGCAAACAAAGAGTTGTAGGTAACTAGATACTGGAAATTCCAATGCGGTTCGCCCTAAAGAGTACAAATTGCAACTAAGTGACCCAATGTCAGAGCAATACTTTTAGAATGTTCAAATTGGACCATTCATTCAAATATAGCGATTAAAATGTTTCTTCAATTTCAAGAATATGATTCCAAAAACAGCATTTAACAGTTTTGAACTTTCTAAACAAAATTTTTTCATTGACAATGCAAAGCAAAAGTCTCCAGGAAATGATTCAAACCACTATTTTTTTTGATGTTACCCCTCAATACAGGTAAAACACACTTGAATTTTCTATGAATGATCTCTTATCTTAGGCAATTTTCTATGGTCAAAAAGATACTGAAATGTCGATTTCTTTCATTCTTGAGAATTAGAAATGTATATTGAATCTACACCAGGAAATTAGAGTCCTTTGTATGATTTCATAACCTTTGTAAATTTCTATTTGAAGGCATCAATTGATTTCTTAATCATATTTTTCTTGTCCAAAAACTACCCTCACTCTTTTCATGAAGTGTAGTAATAGGTGATTTATTTTGGAGATAAAACATTTGGTATATGCATTCTTCTTAATTTTATTTTTGGTTACACTTTTCAGTTCTCTGGGGGTATGTTAATTAGCAGAAATGGCTGCTTACAACCAGCATAACACCATATGTTTAGAACAGACTTTAAAAATTTTGATTGATTAGATTAGTATAGTAGATTTTGTAAAAATAAGCACCGTATTTATGAGCAAGTATTTGCTACAATTTTCAATATTCCCATTATTGCAGACCTTATAATGTTCATATTTTTTAGGGCCACAGGGATTGTGTCGACTGTATTCAGAAGAATACAACATTATGTTTATCAAACTAAACACATAATATCGATAAAAAAAATAAATATTGGGAAAACTATAATAAAAACATAGATTTAGAGTTATATTAATGAAATAATGCTTTTAAGTGGTGGAAAGAAAGATTAGTTACTGTTTTAAAACTTGAATATAGCGGTCTAAAATTTCTTTTTTTCCCTTCAAAAAATGAAGACAAGTTTCTGTTAATATTCTTCATAACTATTTACCATAAATTCATTATTAGCAACATCATGAAATTAAAGTGAATAAAACTCTAAAATTAGGCTCCTTTAAACACTTTGAGCAATACTTTGATTGTTAACTGCCAAAAAGTAGTGGCAAAAATTGCTTTTGGCTTTAATACAGAGAGCAATAGGCACTCATTATTCTACACTGCTTTTAATTTGAAGGTTGAAGCATTCAAAACAAGGCAGAACATAAATATAGCTAAAGATTCTAAATATAAAAAATGAACTAAAAATGGAAAACAAAATCTGATAAATTAATCATATCAGCATTGCATCCTTTTTTCAAAAAATGAAATAAAAGTGTTAAAACTTTCAATAAAAGATAGAAACGTTATTGATTACTGCCTATTCTTTGCAGACAGTGACCGCATCAGGTTTGTTTGGATGTGTCATTTTTGCACTAAACTTTGTTACTGAAACGGTCCTATCTGTTAGGATCTATCTGTAGGCTAGGCATAGAGTTTTCTATTATTTTAAATATCTAATAAAAAATGTGTTACTTACTTTTTGTACTTGGGGGCATTTATGTTTAAGGATGACAGTACTAACTGCATTACTTCATCACATTTACCTAAGAAAAATGATTATAAATAATAAAAAAAAGCAAACAAATAAATCTGAAAAAAAAAATTCTCTTTATATCCTACTGAATTTATTAAAAATTAATCTATTTATTAACGTTAACAGAAATAATTCCAACATTATAGATATTGAAATATTTGTTAAATACAAGTAGTAAATTAATTGATAGATAACTAAAAAAAACTAACTTTCTTCTAATTGACAATGCAAAAAATAGTTTAAGGTAGAAAGCATAAATGAAATTAATGCCAAAAAATTACAATGAAAAAATAATACACTTGAACTTACAGAACACACTATAAAAAGGAACACTAAGCATTGATATATTAAGAAACATGATAAATTAAGAAAAAAAAAAATGAATGTGAGCTGTAATATAACATAAACTAAAAAGGAATACTAAGTATTGATGAATTAAGTATTATAAAATAAATAGTGGGTAAAATATTAATTTAAATGAACGTGAGTAGTCACAGAACACAATTTAAAAAGATTTTTTTTAAAAATGTTTGTGAGTAGTTACAATACATAACTTAAAGAAGTAACGCTAAGCCTTGATAAATTAACAATTATAAAATAAATTTAAAAAATGCTAAATGAATTTTTTAATTGAATGTGAACATTAATAGAACTGAATTTAAAATAGAGCATCAATGAATTATCAACTATAAGATAAATGAAATAAGATGACGAAAAAAAAGATGACGAACTATAAGATGACGAAAAAAAATTTTACAATTAATTTTTTAAATGAATGTTAGCAGTTTTAAAACACAACATAAAATATTGAAATGATTTCTTTGAAATGATTGTGAGCAAATAAAAAACATAAATGAAAAAGAAACACTTAATATAGATAAATTAACAACTATATGATAAATAAAAGGGAAAAAAAGACTCATGAAATTTTAAAATTAATCTAAGCAGTAATAGGACATAACTTAAAAAAGAATAACACTAAGTATTGATGAGTTATCAATAATATGATATATTAAGGAAGAGATGTTAAAGTGAAGTTTTTAGTAAAACATACCATTTATTTTTAACACTGCCTGAGAATCTTTTGGTGTCCACTGCAAATTGACAATGTACAATTTAGGGCGTTTATCCAGTGACTGATTATTTCTCCATAGTTGAGGATATCTTCTTAAAACCTGTTAAGTTAATGTCATTAAATTTAAATATATAACAGCATCAGAACATGATTTCATCCGCAAAGTTATTTTTTATTATCCAAATAAAAAACCTAAACTGTAGAAAATTACAATTTAGGGCATTAATAATTCTGTTAATTAATAGGATTCAATATTATTAATTTTTTAAAAAAGTAGAGACATCATAATATAATTTACAGGGGTAAATTTTAATCATGGATTAGAACTTTTTTACATTTGATAAACAAACATCTGAGGTCAAAGAGGTTTACCACTCCATAAAACACAAATGCATTCTAACTTCCTCAAAAAGTCCCCAACAAAAGTGAGTTTGCTCACAAGGCTTGGTGAAAGAGTTTTCTAGTCTCCTGGATTGGATTCAAAAATAAAAGTTTTTGGAGTTGAATATTGATAATCACAATATCTATATGAACTGACTGTTCAACACTGATGATGAAGATATTTAATAATAAATAATGAATATAAGATAAATATTATATACAACTCAAATTTTGATTCATCATTCTCTTGTTTTCTGAATTAGGTATATAATTACAAGACTACAAGTGTAAACATTGGCAAACACAAATTGGATGTGGATCAGCTATTAAATCTCAGCGATAAAAATAATATATCTTACAAAAAATAAAGGGCTGCAATTGGTAAGGTACATTGGTACAAAGAGCTAAAGATTGGTATGAACAAATCCTATCTGGATTGTTTGTTCAACATAAGAGATAAAAATGAATTCAGTCATACAATATAAATCGACATTACAACAGGGTTGCCATGCAAATCTAAAGAAAAACAATTCCCTGTACGTATTATACACAATATATTAAGAGGAAATGCACATCCACTGTGCACTTGTCCAAACAATATTAGGCCAACTATACTAGCTATAATTGGTAAAAAAAATTAAAGAAATAAGGAACATCTTAACCTACTTAAAACAAATAATGCTATAGTAAATGAAATTGTTTTGTATAGCAGAAATATCATCCTTACATATCCCATAGAATGTGCATTGAGTTTTCACCACTTTTTAAAAGACGAAAATAAAAAAATAATTCCCTGTATTTTCTCAGTTATTTTAGGTGATTTTTAAATTTTCTGTATTTTCCAGGTTTTTCCTGTGGAGTAGCAACCCTGTACAATAAATATCAATCACATTATCATTATCATATAATAGAGTGTTCATGCAGGAGCTCCCTTGTTCAAATTACACAGCAACAGAATTGAACATCAGTAGGACACAAAACCCTATAGGGATTATTTTTTCAATGCTGGCCATAAAACAGATACGTGAGAAGAAGACAAAAGCTTACTTTTAGACTACTTCCAAGACACAGGATTACTTCAGCTTTATCAACTGCTTTGACAGCACCTTTCCAATTCATGGGCCACTGAAGTTTACCCTTCTCTCCGAAATGTACAATCGTATCAACCAACTCTGATTTACATTTGTTACAGAATCGACCGGTTTTGTGACGATGTAAGGCTGTGCGCTCCGTCACGTCAAATAGACGGATATATTGTTTGAGTGGCTTGCAATTAGGGCATACCTATAACATTTTATACATAAATGTTACATAAATTGATTTAGTAATTACAAAAATATGGTGATATTACATAGCAGTGTTGATCACAAAGTTTTATGTGGGTCATGTTCCCATGCAATAGTTTAAAGTAATTTTGTGCAGAGTTCGCATTTTCAATATATGACATGGCACACACCAAAAGAGACTTGATTACTATCTGACAATACTAGATTCAGAAAACTGCATTGCAGTGGCATGCTTGCTTTCACATTTATTGATACAATGCCATTTATGTCTGGCCTGATATAACGATATTGCTAATAAAAACAACAAAAAGCTTTTAGAGCTTTAAGGAACCAGCAAAAATTTACAAAGAAAATAAGTATTTTTGAACACCCTATGCCAGAAAATATAACAATAAGCTTATAACTTACAGTGTTTTCATTACAGAAAAAAAGTGGGTGAGAATTTCTCACCCTTTCTCAAAAANAATAAAAACAACAAAAAGCTTTTAGAACTTTAAGGAAACAGCAAAAATTTACAAACAAAAATAAGTATTTTTGAACACCCGATGCAGAAAATATAACAATAAGCTTATAACTTGCATCAATTACTTAGGTTGTTACTTGCAATGATTGTACGGAATTTCATAAGGTTAGTTTAAATATTTATAGAGATAAGGTCATTTTTATAAGAAAGTAATTCCTTTTGCAATAACTTTAAAAATATTCAACAAAATTATTAAAAATTACTGGAGTAGATTTTAACTGATAACAAAATCATTCTTTTAAAATTAAAAAAAAAAAAAAAATTACACAAGATATGAGTATTTAAAGTGGTGCTTTCATATTGACTAATAGCGAGTAAAATTAATATATGTATATATATATGAGTGTGTGTATATATATATATATACACACACACACAATTTTGAAGTAAATTGTATTCAGTATGAAGTGAAAAAGGTCCAACTTGAATGTCTTGAAAATTTAAAAAGTTTATAAAACTTTTTAAAAGAAAACGGGATTTTACAAAATTTTTATTTTGTATCATGAAAAAAAATTTAATAAGAAATGATAATACCTAGCAATAATCATCCATACTCCACAATATGATCATGGAAGACATTTACGCACTATAGCGCGTAAAATACGCAAAAAATTGAAATCGGACGCAAAAAAATGATCGCTACGCGTCCCGCGGGACGCGTAAATTTTTGAAGAAAGTTTATAAATTTCCCGACTTTTTAATCTTTGATATCGAAACATTTTAATAAAATCGAAAAATTGGGACGCAAAAAATAAATCGGTATGCATCNTAATAAAAAAACCCACATAACACTAAAAAAAAACTTTTACAGAGGTTAATCCTCTACAATGCTGGTGTTATTTTCAGTAAGTTTTGTCTATAATGGTATAAAATAAAATTTGCGACAAATCACAAATCCCTTATCAATCATTTAGAGCCTTTCTTAAAAAAGTACAAAACTACTTAGAAAATTGCTAGGAACTTTTTAAATTTCCAAGATTTCCAAATTGGACTTTTTCATTAGTTATTAAAATACAATTCACCAAGATACTGTGAAATTTTTTTCGCATATGCGCAGTATAAAAGAAGTATTTTAAAAGCCCATATCTAGCACAATTTTAAATTAATTTTGTTGAATATCTTTAAAGTGTCCAGATTGAGTATCTTTAAAGAAAAATGTCAATTTCTCCATAAATATGAAACTAAAGTTGATGAAATTTTCTGCAATCATTGCAAAGTAAAAGTAAAGTTTCCTGCAAAAGCAAAGTAAACGATGCAGAGGGTGTTTAAAAATACCTGTTTTCATTCATAATTTATTGCTAGCCTGTTAAAGCTCTGAAATCTTTAAAATTGATTGACAAATATGAGAAATTGCATGATCTAAACACCTGCAAAGTTATAAAATAATCATCTAATTATTTCATGAGAAATTTAAAAAATTGAAAGTTCCTCTTCCATTACTGTAGGGTAGTGTATCTTGTAGAGTAGCGAAATTTGCTTTGCAAGGCTTATAAAAATTTTGAGACTATTTTAGCATTAGTCTGCTTTATCTAATTGTACCAATATTTCCTTTCTTTTTGCATTTATTTAACAATTTTATATTTTTCTGATAAGATAGTTGCCTTTTAAAATAAATATTTTATTGTTTTTTTTTGAGCTTGTGATCAAATCTTTAAAATTAAATTATATAATCTGTAGTATTTCAATATTCTTGATATGAAAAGTTGAGCCTTTAAATTCTAATTACACCAAATAGTTGCAAAAACACATCTTTCTGACTGAATTCTAAAATATTTTTTAATTTTTGTTTTAAATATAATCAGCAAGCTTACGTTATTATTTAACACTAGAATGCTAGCAACTCTTGCAGTATTCTGTAAAAATAAACTGAATTACGAAAGTAGTAAGTATGTACTTTCCAAAAAAAAAGAAAAGAAAAAAAGCTTAAATTAAGCAATTATTTTTTTAAAAAACCGATAAGAAAATCACTTTAATTGCTTTATTAAATTTTCCTTAAAGGTATTATTAATGAACTTAAAAAAAAACGCAATTCACTATGTTGTTAGCGATTTAATTTTTCCTAGTGTGCTTGAATAATATTGGAGAAAATAAAAAAGTTTCTGTTATACGATACGACGGAGATACAATTGCTTTGTAATATTGAGGCCTAATTTTATGGGCATGGTGTTGTTAACGTGAACACTTAAAATGAAAAAGTGTCTGTTACATGATTTGGCGGTGATATAATTGCCTTGTGATATTGATGTTAATAATTGCCTTGTAATATTGAAGGTAATAGGCTAATAAATAATATGTTTCTGAAAATTTTTAAGGACATTATCTTTCATTTTAAGGTCATTTTTGGGTCTTTTTTTTGTTGTACTTTTAAAATTTTTTTATGTCATAAACATTTTAGTTCTGATTATTTTAAGTTGCACATATAATGATAAATTTTGTAACATTTAAAACATATATTTGATTTTGTGTAAAAAAAAATTCTACATCATTACAAAAGAAATCAAAATCAGAAATGTTGAAAGTGTACAAGAAGCTTTACCTCAATAAACATATTTCCATGTAATTCAGATAGAACATTTCGGGGTAGACCACTTCGGAGATGCAGGCCATCACAATTCTGGGAAACTATGTGTGATAAAAGTCCTTCCTTGTGGAGTTGTTTCAATGCCATATGGGTGAAAGTTGGTTCAGATTGACTCAGATCTTTCAGCCTGCACAGAAAAAAAAAGAAAATTTCATTCTTTTAAAATATAAAAACAGAAATAATTTATTTGAAGGAATTATAAATGAAAATAAATCAATAAATTTATAATTTTCTTTTAGCTGTAAAGAAAATAACTTGTTATTTAATAAATAAGTTTGAAGCATATACAATTTAGTTGTGTATTGAACAATGAAGAAAGACTTGTTCTGTCAAAAGTAACATAGAACAATTGTTTCTTTATGATCTAAATTAAATTTATTCTTAATTTAAAATTTAATTAAAAAATCGGGTTTTTGTTTATAGAAATTTAGAAGGGTGCTTGGTGTTGAGCTTGAACAAAAATAACTATGATTTCAGTTTTTTAATGATTAGTGTGTAATAATTTTATACAAAATAATATTTACCTTTTATGTTAGATGTTTTAATTATATTTCAATATTTTCTTATATTATGCACCGTTTATGCATTTTATCTGAGTTTTGATTGGTAAAGTTTTGATAAAATTTGGACTCCTTAATGTCTATTTTATTTTCTGCGTATTTTGCCACATTCCAAGAATTTTTTAAGCTAACGGAAACATTTTTAAACAAAATTATAAAATTCATTTATACAAATATAATTCCAAGTAAAAAAGAATTTTTAATAATTATTTATTAGTATTTTATTTTTTATTTCATAATACTCCAAAAAAATTTGAATTGTAAGGAAAAAATTTTTTATCATTATTTTAAAGAATGTACAGGCTAATAAAAAATTTGAACATAATCGGTCAAATAGTTCCAAGAGAAAAAAAGTTATATAAAAGAAAAAGATACTTTAGAAACTTAAGAAAAAGATACTTAAGTTGAACTCCGGAACTATTTGACCAATTTCAGAAAGTATATACACTATCGGTCAAAAGTTTAGACTCACTCTTGAATTTTTAAAAATAGACAAATAACAATTAAAAATGACTTCTTTTAAACTGAAAATTACATTAAATTAACTTTATTTTGAGAAATGTAGGTACGCTTATATGGTAAGAACTATAATTTTATGCATAACTTATGAATTTCGTCCAATCTTGGATTCTTCGAAATATCCTCCTTTAGCCTTTATCACAGCAGCACATATTTTTGACATTCTTTTTATTAGTTTTTGTAATGTTCTAGCTGATATCTGGTTCCAGCAACTAAGTAAAGATTCCCAAAGCTTGTTTTGATTGGTACATCTCATTTTTGTAACATTTCTATCGAGTTCATCCCACAATAGCTCAATAGGATTAATATCAGGGGATTGAGGGGGCCAATCCATGTATTTCAGTACTTTTTTCTTTTCTTTCGATGCAATGTAGTTTCTACACAATCTCGATGAATGTTTTGGATCGTTATCTTGCTGAAAAACAAATCCTTGACCAACAATTCTCTGTCCACATGGAAAAGCGTAACGCTGCAATATTCCGCGATAATATTTTTATTCATAATACCCTCTATTCTTACAAGATCTCCNGCCAATCCATGTATTTCAGTACTTTTTTCTTTTCTTTCGATGCAATGTAGTTTCTACACAATTTCGATGAATGTTTTGGATCGTTATCTTGCTGAAAAACAAATCGTTGACCAACAATTCTCTGCCCACATGGGAAAGCGTAACGCTGCTATATTCCGCGATAATATTTTTATCCATAATACCTTCTATTCTTACAAGATCTCCAACTTTATCACCGACAAAACATCCCCAAATCATGACTGAACCTCCACCATGCTTCACAGTTGGTAATAAACATTGACTTGTCATACGTTCACCAACTAAACGACAAACATACTGCCTTCGTTTGCTTCCAAACAATTCAAATTTTGATTCGTCCGTAAACAAAACCTTCGACCACTGTTCCAAAGACCAGGTAACATGTTTTTTAGCCCATTGCAGTCGTTTTACTTTATTTTGTTTTCTCAAAAGAGGTTTTCTAGCAGCTACACAACCTTTTAAGCCATAGTCACGAAGTCGACGTTGTACAGTAGATACTGACACAATTTTCTGCCGAGTAGCATTCAATTCATCACGGATTTCTGGCACTGTTCGTGTCCGCTGCCGCTTACTTTGAATGCATATAAACTTATCCTCACGTTGGACGTTATTCTAGGTCTCCCTGATCGCTGGCGGCTCTTATTTTTGCCAGTTTCTTTCTTCCTTTGCAAAGTTCTGACAACAGTGGTCTGAGAAACATTAGTTTTAGAGGCAATTTGTCTACTTGAATAGCCTTCTGCATGAAGTGCAATAATAACTGCACGTGTTTCCACACTTATTTCTCGTTTTTGACCCATATTTCTGTAAAAAAAAATTCTTTTTGTTTTTAATATATATATTCTGGCAAATTAAGGCAATTATATAAATATTTAAAATTTGTCATGTACATGAACATAACTTATAATTAACCCCATAAAAGGAGAGAAAAGTAAATTGTTTATAAACTAAGAATTAATAAAATTTTTTAAATAAATTACACTTGTTTTAGAATAGGTACTTACATGCAATTTCGTTATCAACTACAGAATGGATACAAAATGAAAAAATAATGAACAGTTTTAAAAGAAAACAGAGTTTTGTGATGTTTGTTTATGATTATGTTTGATAAATTGTACATTTAAGTCAGAAACATTTAACTATTTTTGAAAATTTTGAAACAAATACAAGTGAGTCTAAACTTTTGACCGGTAGTGTATATCAGCAAGTTTAGAGAGAGTAAAAATGAACTTAGCTTTTCTTAAGGACCTCTTTCCATGCCATAAATGAAAGTATCAATTGTAATATAAATTTTGAACATACTGTTAAATGGTGAAAAAATAAAACTAAATAAAATTCTACATATTTTTAACAGTAAATTTTGTTTTCATTGTTAGAAACCTTAGTTTAATTAAAGCATATAATTGAAAAAAAAATAGCAAAAAAAGCGAAGCAATATTTTTGTGGTTACATATTCAAGCAATGATTCTAGAGTATATTTACTTTGTAGTATTTCTCGACTAGTTATAAAATTGTTAGCAGTAATTTCTAAACACAATTTCTGTTATTAAATCCACTACTTTATACTATACTTCACTCCTAAGTGAAATTACTCTTTAAAACATTTTTTTTCCTTGGATAACACCATATTCCTATTTGATGATATATATTATTATATGATACACATGAATCATTTACTAACATTCGATATCACATCAACATCTAAATAAAACAAATAGATTACTTTATTTCTTGTCCTTTTTGCAATAAAGTCCACACTCCATCAGGGCCTCTGTAATCAGGAATCTCTGCTGACTGAAATGTAATGAATCATTTGTAATCAAGTACAATAAATAAAAATTTCTTCATTGATTAAACAATTTATTTAAAGGAAGTTCATGAAAATATACAAAAAAAATAAAATATCAGTAAGATAATAAAATTGAGACAACTTAGGTAAGAAAAAGGTTCTCCATGGTCAGGAAATATACAGTGAATATACTGGTTAATTCAATTTATAGTAAAAAATGGTATTAAATGCATTATTTTTTTTTTATAATATCTTGCACAGTTTATAGTCTTTCAATATTTACACATTAATGATTAAACTGTTCATTTATTTTAAGAATTTTTAATTATATCTAGCATTTGATTTATACTAAGAACAACCCTTTTGCATTTCAACATGGTAAAACTATGAGCAGAATGTAAAGTATGTGGAAAATTTTAATAAGTACAACGATACTGCAACAATGGTCGAATCATATCTTGCCTCATCCTGCCCTGTTAGCATTTTGGAACAAGAGCTAAGCCAGTAGGCTATACTCAAAGTTGGTTGAACGAGTCCAATACTATAGAAAAGGAAGGTTTATGAAGAATGCAGTCTTCCCAGACATTTAAACGGCCGCAAACACAACTTCTCTTTTTTTTGTGGTCATTCCAGATAATCTAATCTTGATTAACTGAGAGTCTATTGTTTATGATTTTATTTGAAAGAAATCTTATAAAATCAAAGAAAATAAGTCATATTCCAATATTTAGACATTGTTAATGCATAGAATTTCATTAAATCATAGAATTTCAATGCATAGAATTTCATTAAGAATATCATTGGCATAATTAGTTACAATAGAAATTTCATTGACCATCTATGATATATATCTATAAACATGAGACTGATTGAGAAGTCAAGGCAAATCCTATAAAAATGTCCTAGTTATGCCAATATTGGTAAAAATTAATTGTCAGTTGCTATTAATAATTAAAGGTTATTAATAATTACCAAGCATGCATTACCCAAGTACTAACAATAACTCATTTATGTGAATTAGTTATCATACTTTTTAAAAGTTATAATTAATAATAGCTGGTTAATAGTAGAAGTAATAGTTTTCTATTTAAGTCACACAAGAGCTGCACTATGTGCAATTGGTAAAGTTTTGGGATCATTCCTGAGGATGATCTGAAGACATGCCATCACAATTTTGATCCTCTGTTGGCTCTCCCCATTTGATAGCCCGATTTCCTGTGTGCAAAGTTGAGCACTTTAAGGCAGAACAGCTTAATGAGTATCGTATTATGCTCCCTCAGTCTCTTTGCAGACTGATCAATGTGGTCAACCACCCGCTAACTGATGGCTGGCAGTGATGCTGACTACAGTGTTTTACTGGGAATTGTGCTTTATGGTCAGTCCATTAAGCAATACTATTAATAATTATAATTAATAAAAAAAACTTATCATATTAACCAGGGTTGGCAAGTTTTTGACACATGAAGGTTTTACCGGTTTATACCATGGTTTTTACCGTNCAGTCTCTTTGCAGACTGATCAATGTGGTCAACCACCCGCTAACTGATGGCTGGCAGTGATGCTGACTACAGTGTTTTACTGGGAATTGTGCTTTATGGTCAGTCCATTAAGCAATACTATTAATAATTATAATTAATAAAAAAATCTTATCGTTTTAACCAGGGTTGGCAAGTTTTTGACACATGAAGGTTTTTACCGGTTTATACCATGGTTTTTACCGTCACGTCAAAAACTGTCAAGAACCCATAGTTTTGATAAAACTGTATTTTAATTTGAGTTTAACTGCTTATGATTTAAAATTAATTCATTTTTGGGCATAAAATTAGAAAAAAAGTTGTTAAAAGATATTTAAGAACAGATTTTTGCACTTTCCCAACATGATTATATCAAATCATACTATTCGAAGTAAAATATTAGGATACTCTGCAAAATTTTCAACATTTCCAAGCATCATTTTGTTTGCATATTACGTAACTGAAGAATGTCAAGTCATTCCTGACTTACAGTTTGTTAGTAGTTACAAGTTTTGAAAGTTTTGTTTAGCTTATTTCTAATATTTAAGAAATGCCAAATTTTAAATTCTTCTTTTTAGTTCTTGAATTTATTAATAGTTTTTTTGTTTGTTTGCTTATTTCTAACAATTAAGAAGTGCAAAATTTTGAATCCTTTGCAAATCAAGCTATAATGATAAAAGTTAAGTATCACTATTTTCAATAAGTATATTACAATATTTCTGTATGAATGTATATCCTTCTATAAGAATACATGTATATAGTTGCAAAATCAATAGCAATCATTTACAACATTCATTTATAAAGGCAATTAAGTGAAAATAATATATTGTCCGCTGTATGCCATAAGTTAAAGAAAACAGTAGGTTTTTGATGGTTTTTACCGGTAAAAACGCGGTTTTTATCACCATCATGACAAAAACCAGTTTTTGACGGCAAAAACCCAACCCTGATATTAACCAGAACAATTATATGATGAAAACTTGTACAACACTCACTGTACTTATTCCAGCTCCAGTGTACACTACAGTATAAGCTGATTCCTTCAATGCTTGGGCCAGTTGAAGACATTTAGCAGATAGAACTTCAGGATCATCAATAACCTAAAAATTTAAAAGATGAACAGTAATTTATAGAGAAAAAATTTAAAATATTTAGATAGAACATGATCACTCATTTTAACAGTTTAAACATCAAATTAAGAATGGATAACTTAATATTTGATAAGTTCACTAATAACAAATGATCAGAGCTCATTCTAGGCAGGGTAAACAGGGCGCAGCACCCTGCTGCCCTTTTAGTCAAAAGAATTCCCCCTGTTACCCCTGAAGTAAATTAGTGCCCTGATGTAATAGACTCCATACCCTTTTTGCCATTTCTTTCCTCAACCCTTCTTTACTTTTTCTCCAAACTCTACAACGGATTTCTTAAACTGTTATTTTTAACTCTTTTTATTTAGTTTGTCATTGCTGTCAATACATAGATTTATATGGGAAAGGAAAAATAGCCATCACAACCCATTGTTGCACTTGTCATTGAAAGTTTGCAGTTACTTCCACTATCATTAAATCATAATTATTATTAATCATTTTAATTATTTAATCATAACTACAGACACTTAAAAACATACATTTATTATTTTATTTATATATGCATGCATTTTAAATAAATTACTAAGCTAATTAGCTCATTAACTCGATATATATGTTAATTTATTAATGAAAATAAGTAATTAATGATTGCTTTGTTACTTTAAGTTAAGTAAAAAAAAATTCTTTTACTAATTGACAATGTTTTTTAATAGAATGTGTAAAGAATTCTTGTTTTTAATAGAATGTGAAATTATTGCCTTTTTAGAATAATAATGCCCTTTCTTTAAACTTTTGCACCCTGCCCTTTTTTCTGCATAGAATGAGCTCTGCAAATATGAATAAAATAAAAAAATTAAAGTAAAAAAATGTTGAAAGGCATTTTTAATGATATTCCATTAGCCTTCTTCAGACCTCTTTTTACTGACAGTGATTACAACTGCATTTGTTGCGTTCTGGTATATATCTTCGCTCGGAATAGAATGGTATCTACTAAAAAGCATAAAAAATGTTAAAACATTAATTTTGGAAATGTATTAAATAGTTTATACTTTTGGTTCAGTTTAAAATGATTATAATAGATGAGATATTCTACATTTTCCCTAGGTGTAGTTTATAAAATATATTGAGAGGAGCCCGATTGATGAATTCAGGATATTTTTGCAAAACTTTTCAAATTCTTTCTGGCTTCGTGAATTTCACTTTCATGTTCAACCTTATAATAGGGCTTTCATTTCCTTTAACATTAAATTTAAAATCAACATCCACTATTCCACAGACATAAAAGGGTTCTAAAATATTTTTCTTATCAATAAAATCGTTTAAACATGGTGCTAATAGCAAGCAAAATTTTTAAATGAGTCAAATGAAAAAAAAAGTGAGCACTATTCTTTGGGTCCTTGGATAACAACAAATGAATGTTGGAAATAATATAAATTACAAGAAAGAGGAAGAAAAATTATCAATAGCAAGAATCTACTTAAGATCATTGTTCGGAACATATTGAAAAACTTCTTTGATGTTAAAATTCAGCTCAATCACCTTCAAATAACACAAGTATAAGTATATAACACCCCTAAAAGTCATCACCTTGTCCTAAAGAATTTCTTTTTCAATGTAGTTAAAATTTCAACAAAAGAGTAAAATGCTGGGAATGAATGCACACCTTAAACATAAAAAAATTAATTTTTAAAATAAACCACGTTTTTATATTACTTTAATGAAAAATAATTAAAATTAATATAGGCACAGTTGAAAAACAGGTTTAGTTTCTCCTTAAAAAATAGCTGAAAACAAATGAACTTTAAATAAAATCAAATGAACCTTTAAAAGAAATCATATTCATAAAACTGGAAATTTGAATATTTTAAAATTGTAAACTTTATATGTTTTCCAATCAGTACAGTCTATCGGACTTTTTTTTAAAAATATTTACCTCTTTGATTCTTTCTTTCAAATTTACATGTTTTTCTTTATTATTTTGAATTCTTTGCACTAGATCAGGAGCCTCTTCTAAAAGTTTAATTTCTTCATTTGTCCTACTTGATAATGGCTTTTTCATAATTTTTCTAACCTGCAATAAGACACACATCCTGATAGTAATTAGAAAAACATTTTGAATTGTTTGAAAAACATTTTGAAAATGTTTTACATTTTGAATAAAACATAAACATACTGTCTGGTTCCTAAGGCATAATGGTAATATATGGTTAATACCTACTTAAACTGTGACAGAATCGCGGCGACATGCCGCAGAACATTACAGAGTTCTTGAAGAAAGATTTTTCTCTTGGGAAGAAATTTTTTTTTTTCCTGCAGAAATTTTCACATAAAATTTGAATCGTGCAATTAAATTAATGCTTTTTGTCATGTTCAATTTATGCTGATAGCATCGTAAATCCATGTAGTGTTCCGATTGTATTTTTAGCAGTTATTGATACCGATTTTCATATGGTTTTTAATTATACCAATATATTTTAGACGATATGGGAAATTCAAATTGTGCATTTGAGTATTTACTTTTTAAGGCGATGATTCTATTGATTTTTTTTGGGATTTATTGCTTTTAATTTTCACATAGTTTTTAAAATCTGATATTTTTCAAACAATATTATTTATTATAACAATCAAATCATGCGACAAAACATGCATTTGAGCAACCCGTTTTTGAAGAGTCAGATTCGTGTGATTTTGTCGTCGATCTGTTTTTTAGTAATTACTCTTACGGATTTCATGATTTTCAATAATTTTTTTTAAAGTGATGATGATTTACAAAATGCGATAAAGGAAATAACTAGAGCATTTTTTTTCCAAACAAAATGTGAGAATATCGTCCATAATATTAGAATAAAAAAATATTACATATTCAATGAAAAAAATTCTTTGAATTTTTTTTTTTGTTGGTGAACAGAGCGTTTCTGTTGCTTTAAATTCGCAAAATACTTCTTTGTTATTATTGAAAGTATCTTGCAGAAAGATATTAATGCTAAAGATATTTGTTGCAGAAAGCCTGAAAAAATTCATCCACAGGGCCTACTAACAAAAACCTTTGTGCTGATCAGCAACATCATGAAAATTAATGCATAGTATTACTTTCAAATCAATGCAATAAACGGATCTGAATAATAAATACACAAAAAGGTCGAATAAAATGAGAATCACAAACAAATGATTAGCAAAAAATGATGAAAGTGATAGCAGATGGTCCAGTTTGCTTTCAAAGAACACATAGTGCGATGATTTTATTTTGTTTTTTTCTTTAAACAAAACAAATTTATATTTCAGTTTCCGTATTTATAATTTAGAAATTCTAGAAGAATAAGAATATTAAACTATAAGACGGCATAATAAAATACATCACAGATCATCATTTCAGAAATTTAAATTTTAATAGAAATTTTTACCAAACGCAAGTGTGAGCGTTCTTTCTCAATATGAATAATGCGAAGTAGATCTTGACTCTTCTTAATTTGTCTTCGCGATCTTTCCGACATAATATTAAAAAAATAGGTTTAAAAAGCTATAGTTGTTTGTTTATATTTACAAATTTAAAGACAAAAAAGTGAAAGGAGCAGCAGAAAGCGAAACAAGTTCTTATTATATCTAATGATGAACTGTTCGATCGCGTTCTTTCAGTTTGCAATGATTCGATATTAGATCTCACTGTTTTCTGTTCGAGACGCAGTATATCGTTTAAACAATTTAAACCGAAAAAATCAGTTTTTTCTTTTCTTCTGAAAAAAAAAACGTTACAGAAAAAAATATTTTTAAAGACTGATTCAATTTAAGAAACGAATATTTCTTTTTTCGAAAAGTACAAGCATAATGCAAAAAAAGTCAGCCGGAAACGTTTTTGGGAAATTATCCAACTCCAACTTCAACTTTCAATTTTGAACTCCTAATTTTACACATTATTTGTTGTCTGCTCTTTTTCTCGTTTTCAAAAACAAAAAAAGTAGTCATATTGTCTCTGTATTGGTCAGTAATTACAGCATCTTCTTTTGTACTATAAGATTTAATAATTATGATTAGGATTTTTAAGCATAAGAATGCAGAATTCCTCATAGTTTTTGATTTCTCGAACTGTTATAGTTATGCATAAAGTATGATATCATAGTACGGAAACAACTGCATGTTTTCTCATCATTTGTGCTACTGTAGTTATGATAATACCCCCTAATTGGGGAGAATTATATTGCTACATTCGATTAAAAATACGCCTAGACTTTTGAGGGTAATAAAAATTGGTGCCAATTGATAAGTAGTTTACAAAAAATTCATACGTTTCATTTTGCAATTTTAAATATGGCTTTGTTCCACTTTGTTTAATAATAATTATTGTTGTGTGTTTTTTCAATAAGTTTTCTAAATATGTTGAAGCCTCACCTTACAGACCCTCCTCCTAGATTTTCACATTATAGGCAATTTCCAAAATAACTTAGTCTTTTGTATTACTATTTAATCATCATGTTAATTTAGTTAGAGAAAATTTTTAGCAATATCCTTTATATATTTATGATTTATGGACAGTTTTCAGTTCCGGAGGGTTTCACGGTAATAGTTTGCAATCGGGAGCCCTCTCATTTTTGGCAATTTGCAAATAAATGAATATGTGTGTAAATAAATTAAAAACCAATCACATAAAGATAAACAAAAGTTACGGTAATCAAAAATGAGATTTCAGCAAAATGGTACGAAAATTATTGCTAAGCCAAGGGGCCTCTGATTCTACACTATAGCCGTTATCACTTAAAGCAATGCACTTCTTATATGTATATTTATTTTATGCTAATTTTTTCAGGTTGTGTTTTTGAATTCCTCGTCAAAATATGTATTGGTAAAATTTACTTTTGTGAAATCAAACTATAGTTTCAATTTTTGCTAAAATATGGAGTATGTAAGTTATGCTACAACATCTATGAGCAGTGATTTATCTAAGAAGACTTTGCAAAAGCTGGGCAAAGACAAACTATCTGAGCCCTTAAGAAGTGAACTGAAACAGGTTTCTTTCTCTTATTTTTATTATTTACAGTGAATAGACTAATATTTTTAAAGTATTGTTGAAGATTTGAATGTACAATAATTTTTTAGCTAACTTTACGAAAGGCTTTCTTTGCCGTAAAATTTTAGGCTGTAGCAAGTTTGTTGATTAAAATTTTTTTCTTCATAGATTTAAATCAGAATTTTTTGTTAAATTCTGATTTTTTTTTAAATATTGCTATGTAGTATTTAAATATTTGTATTGAAATTAATGCACAAATTTTGTTTTAGTGTAGCTTTTTTGACAATTGTCAAAATGTCAGGTCTTTGATTGAAGTTTATTTTAGGCTAGTAATGAAATTTAAAAAGTACCAAGTTTTATATTTTTCGAACCATTTGTTTTTGAGTTGTGCATAACTTGTTTCGTAATTCTTAAATTTTTAAACAGCTATAACTTAAACTAATTGACTTAGAGAGTTAAATTTTGTGTCAATTAGTTAACTTTTTAATGACATTTTTTAAAGCATATAAAAGGGTAAAGTTGTTATACAAAATAATTTTCTTTAAAGATTAAATTCGAAAAAATTTCACAATTGAAATTTTTAATTTTCTTGAAAAATATATGATATTTGACTTTTTTAGCAATATGTGTGCCAAATTTCATGGTGGTATTTCTATGTGATCATGAAGAAATTTTTCTTTCTAGCCTTACAGTTTTTAGAAGGGTGGTACACTCTGTCTTCCTTTTGTTCCTTATAAATATGCCCTTTATGTAAAAATAAGCCTTTAACTGCCTTTTTATTTATATTCCATTTTTAAAAAAGTAATTCACTATTTAAATAATAATTACACACTGGTTAAATTATCTGTGTTTATAAGTTGATATGATTACTTTTAAAAATTTTTGCTTTGTACAGGAATTACTCTTAACTGGTTAAATTTTTATGAGTTTCTCTTTTTTTGGGGGGGGGGAGGAGGTATATTAATGAATTTTTGTTTTTTAATTGATTTTAAATTTTAAAATTATTTTAAATAAATACCTTTTTTTAAATGTGCATTTAAATGTTAGTTTTCTTATAATTTTCATTTTATGCTATAGAAAAAAAGCTTTCAAGTTGTTTATCAATTAATAATTGTTTTAGTGTGCATTTTTTGAAAAAAATTTATGCACAGAGATTATCTTTTAACATTCCTTTAATTATTATTATAAAATACAAATATTATCTTCTTTTCATAACGAGTGGGAATTATTTTTTGAAATATACACATAAAATAGTGTAAGAGGGTAATTTAAAAATTGTTGAGAATCAAATTCAGTTGTTACATAATTTTGTTAAATTTTTACGGTGTTAAGAGATTTCCCTTTCAAAATTCAAAGTTCCCTTTTCTGAGAGGAAACACCCTGCCCTTTTTTATTCCTAGGGAGAACTCTGCTTAGTATTTCAAAAAATATAACATAGTGAAAATTTTTATTTTATAAATTTAAAGATCATATGTGTTAGAATCAATACTCGCAGTATTCTTATATGGGACCACTCTGCAATGGGATTGAATGGAAAATGTTGTAGTTCTGAAAGGTTTTTAATGTTTTTAAATGTTAAGCATTTTTTTTTCAACGGCCAACTTATGTATTTGACGTACCAGAAATTTGCTATCTCATAATCAAAAATCTCTACTCCAGGATAAAGGGAAATAGGTTCTGAGGTTCTTGTCAAATCTTAAATCAAGGCACGCAATATACAAGTTTGACCTTTGTTATTGCTGATAAATGATAATTATTGGTTGCATGTTATGCTTATGTTTTTACCTATATAAGTATAAAATTATTTTTGTAGGTTAATGGAGAGTTAGCAGAGGCTACAAAAGAATATTTTAAGTACAAATTTATTGTAGACTGTGTAAAAAAATTTCTGGATCAAAACGTGGAGAAAAAAGTGAAAAACAAGGTATAATCAAATATTATTTTTGCTATTTTGTTATTTTTTTGGATCTACTTACCGAAAACTATTGTTTTCAGGCATGGTATTCAAGACCGTTGATTTCCTGACTTTCATGAATCGATGATTTATATTCCGAGAAAATTTACTCAGAGTTCCGCTGATCTGAAAATAAGTTTCATTACTTACTCAAAATCTCACTAAGGATGTATTTATTCCGCCCTCACAAGCACCTCTTTTTTTTTTTTGTTCCTAAGTAATGTTCTCATTCACGGCAATAACATCTTCATTGATGCAGAAAAAAAAAGCAACTTCGGATAAATTTAATAACACGAGACTGAAAAAAAAAATGCCCTAATTAATGAACTACAGTGGCAGAACACAAAAGTATAAAATTGATAATATAAAAAGTAAATCTGATATGGCATTTAAAAGATTGTTGGCTACAAAAAATGGTATGTTTATAATTTTTCTTTTAAAATTTATGTTTTAATGAGTAGCAGGTTTGTTGCAAATTCTGATTTGTTATGGAAGAATTATTTGATCAATGTGATATATTTGCCCCCATTTTTATTAAGCTACTGTTAGATTGAATAAATTTTTAATATGATATTGAAAGTTCAAATTTCAAATCATGCATTTCAGTAATCATTTTTCAATTCCTTGTTTCGATCTTTTTTTTCAATCGCAATTAATGCAATTGATTTTCTTATGTTTTTATTAATTTTTTTAAAATTCCGATATTACTACAACACGTAAATTTCTCATTTGAGTAATTGCATTTTGATGTGCTCGATTTGGATCGATACCATCGTAATTGATAATTGATAATTTTGTCGGCAATTGTTTCAGCAAATTTTACCAATATTTTTTTAATCACTTTGTTTTTTTATACATTATTACTACAAGCAAAATTCAATAAGTGCATTAGTCACTTTTTGATGCCGTAGTACCTCTGATTTTTTTATTGAATTTTTATACAAATATTGCCACTGATATCCTCTTGGTTTTTTTAATTTTGATATTTTCATGACATATTATTAAGAAATGAGAAATTTGAATGGCATATTTGATTAATTACTTTTGCACACTTCCGATTTGTGTTAAATCCATATGATGTTTCAAATGTTTTTTTTTATATTTTCATGATAAGAAATTTGAATGGCATATTTGGACACTTCTGACTTGTGTTAAATCCAGGTGATGCTTCAAATGTTTTTTTTTCCCATTGTTATTGCTGTGAATGAATTTTTAAAATTCTGATGTTATTAAGGTATGATAAATTTTAACTGTGCACCCGAGTATTCACTAATGCGATAATTCTATAATTTTTGAACAATTTTTTGCCGATTTTCTGTACAATCTTGATATTTTTCATGCATTATTTATTACAACATGTGAATTTCAAAACCTACATTTTAATTATCCCCATTTTGACGTGTCTGATTTCGTTGAAAATGATGTGTTTTTTATAATCAAACTTTTTCCTGTTATTGTCTTAGATTTCATAATTTTTAAAATTTTTTTGATGTGATGACTCGTGAAAAACAATGCCTTAGATTTCATAATTTTTAAAATTTTTTTGCGCGAAATGCAAAAAAGTCGGAATATGTAATTTCTTTTCTATGCATACATAAGTTTTTAGGTGTTGATAAGAAAATAATTTATTAAGTAAACAAAAATTTATTCTTGACTTGTATTTTTAGGATCAAGCTATTTTATCGGATCCACTTTACTTAAATATTGTGAAGGAATATTCAACTGAGGATGGCATTCAACCTTTTGGCATAACTGAGGACTTTATTAATAAAACTATAAGTAGAAAACAAAAAACTCAAGTATGTTTTATAAATCTAGTTTAGATTCATTGTGAAATTTCCTATCAAATATTGTTTATTAAATTACCATTTTATTAAGACTGTTCTTTGGTTATATTGTCATAAAAAAGTAGTATGTGATTTATATAATGGGTGTTGTGAGCTTGTAACAGAAATGATTCTCAATCAACTTGACAGTTTTAAATCACAAATTTTTGAAAAGTAATATTTGAAAGTGCTTTAAAAAAATCTAAAGAAAAATTCATACTTAATCTTTCTAAGGCACTTAAGAGAAAAATGAAGCAATCTCATTTTATTGATACTGACTGTTAAGTTAGTCTTTTGATTCCTAAAATGCCAGGAGAGTGAAATTTTTTTAAAATTTTTAATACAAGGCCTGTTTCTAAGTTCTAAAGGCAGATTTAAGTTTAAGAAAAGTTCTATTAGAATCATCACATTAATACACATTATAAAATGTGTTATTTTTTAGAAAATGTTTACTTGCCAACTTTTCAGTTTTTACACTTGTTCTGCCAACTAGATTTTACATAATTTTTTTTGTTTTTTTAAATATTTTTAAAGATTTTTCAGTAATTCGCTGAATGTTTCGTTTTGCGCTCAAATATTCATTTTAAACTACTAAATTTATACTAAGACTTTAAAATATGTTTCAATTCACATATAATCTTTTTGTTAAGAGGCAAAATTTTTTTTCCATCGATTCACTTTTATTTTATTTAAATGACCAACAACATATCAGCAATTCATTTTAATGGCATTTACAAAATAGACTGTGATTTGCATTAAAGAGATTTAATAATCAACATAGCAATTTGCGATTAATATTCACGTGATTTAGGCCTCATTACCTTGTTCTTTAAATCATTAATTTTTGTAATTCATATTGATCTGATTTGCAAATTATAAGTATCACAATTTAATTTTGATTTGCGAGTCATGCAATCTTCTAGTCTCCACATCAACTGCATTTCTTAAACTAATAACACATCATATATTTTGTGATTTTGAAATGCCAAATCGTGATTTGTTTTCACATGACTTAGAAATTTTGTACGAGTTATTCGCATTCATGCAATTTTAAAATCAAGCAGCAAGCTTAAAATCATGAAAAGCATTTGTGATCTAATTTTTTAATATTTAAAAAGTTATCCAATGCTGCATTATCTGCAAGTTATTTGAATAAAAATTGAGAATTATTCTTAAGATTTGATAATTAAGTGGGGAAATCTCACCAAATTGGGACGATTTTTAAAAAGAAGTTTAATTATTTTTAAAATAGTTAAATTATTTCTCCGTTAAAAAGCCCAGAAAATTTTTTATGGCAGGATGATATATATTGTTTAAAATCATAGTTTTGCTTCAAGTGTAAGGCGCTTTTACAGTAGCTTTTTTTATTTCTCTTGGTGAAGATGCAACACTTAAGTAAGTTTTAAGATCTAGGCTCTTCTGTTCATTAAGCTAGTATATTTAATTTAAAACTGTAACTTTGCCTTTAGTTTAAGGCAAACATTTTATGGCATTTATTTGGTAAAAAAGCTTTGAAGGACGTCCTTAACTTTTATATATATATATATATATATTTACATATGCGATTGAAATATGAACAGAAGAAAATGTTTTGGAATCTATGAAAAAAGGATCTCTATTCTTTCACTGCAATCCATCTTGGATAATTGTATTTGTGAAAATGGTATAATTTTGAATGCATTTTTGAAAGCTCTTCAAAATAAATTGATTGTATTCACCTGGGATCTCTTGCCAAGAAGGTCTAATTTTATGCATTTTGTTTAAGAGGTTTACACTGGTTTCATAGTTGTCCTGATATTTTTGATAAAAAATATTTTGTCATTTTTTGTTCTGATTTTTAACTTTTTCTGATGGTCTTAAATCTTTTTTTTTTTTTTTTTTTTTTTTTTTTTTTTTAAAAATTTNTTTCTTTTTTTTTTTTTTTCCTTTTTTTTTTTTGCATTTAAAACATTTTTTTTTCTGCAAATACAAATGCAATTTCTTAAAATTACACAATTTAAAGAATCAAAGGGTATGGATTTTTGTTGCAAAATTCTTTTTAATTTTATTTAAAATCTTAGTAAAAATTTCAAAATTTGATAGTTAAAACATGAATATTCTCTAGCTGTGTACATGGTTAACCTTACAGGTTAACCATGTACCTTATGACAAAGATTTTACATTATTAAATTTTTATGAGGAAAAATTTTGTCATATGCTTAATTTGCTATTTTCATTAAATGCAGTAACAAATCTTGTAGGGTAGTTCTTGTTTGTTCTGTAGTTTCACAATTAAAAACTGTTATTTTTAATCTGTTTTAAAGAATGATAGATTTCAATTAATAATACTAATGCTGCCTTTTTCATTTAAGATATCGGTCATTTACTCTAAACATATCTTTGTGTTTTTTTTGGAACTGTTTCGTTTTTAAGTGTTCAGAATGATTTTATTTGGTGTAAATGTCATTTATATTAAAATAATGTTTTTTTTTCCAATTGTGTCTTTGAAGAAATGTTTAATTTTTTTTTGTTTGATTTTAGAAAGAAAAAGAAGAACTTAATAAGTTTATAAGAGATGAAATCAACAATTTTTGTGTTAAAATATCTGAATATACTGGCTGTGGTAATAGCAATTCCTTGAGTTAATGTAGCAGTTTTATTTTTAAATATTCTGCAATTATTTTTATTATTATTCAAAATTTTTTTTAGCACGAAGATACAGAAAAGCATTACCAGAAAGAGCCTTTCAAGAATCTGTGAAAGATTTATCATCTGAAATAGATAGTCTTGCTGATGCCAAATGCAAGCTTGAATCTGATGAAGAAGAGATTAATAATTTGGTTACAAATTATTTTGAGGTTAATTTTAATTACTATTATTTATTCTAATACAGTAAATCCTCTAGAGAGCGACCACTATCTGTTCTGCAGTAAAATGCTCATTAATGGAGATTGGTCTTTCTTAGTGGTTTCCTCCATTGATTTTAAAATTGTCATCGAAGGTACATGATTTTTCGCAAATGATTTTAATTATAGTCTGCATAATTTTCTTGGAGTGGAAATGCCAATTCTGTTAGTGTAATGAAAAGACGTATCTATGAATAAATTTACCGTCTATTAAAATGATCCAAGTGATGTAGTTATGTGTAAAAACAAATTTACCTATTATGAATGATAAAGCTATTTTAAATTAATAAATTATGTTTTTTGTTTAAGTTTGCATTTAATTTTATATCATAAGAATTAGTTATCTTTAAAAGATGAGAAGAGGTTTGTTTGTTTGAGATGCTTGTTTTTTCTTAAATAACTTTTTTTAATTTAATTTTCAACTCTAAATGAAAGCATTGTCTTTAATGCTCTCTGACTGTAACATGAGGTTGTATCATCAAAAAGAGCTCTCTAAATAAGACACTCAAATATTTTGAATACATTTGAATCTAATTATTTGTTTTGTTAAATTTTTTGTTTTGATATTTTTTGATGTTTCCTTATTTGACCTTTTCCGCATTTGGTGCAGATGCTTGCCCAGTCTCTCCTAAAGGTTTTCTTCAACAGAAAGTCTATGGAAAAAATTTTGTGCCCCCCAACAGTGGTCGTAAATAGAGGTTGTCTTTCCTGGAGGTTTTACTCTGATAAATTTTAAGTTAACTTTTTTTTTATTACTAATAAGTTAATTTGCTTTTAAGTGAAATTTATTTGAAGTGTTTGTGATAATTTAATATCATTTCTGCCAGTATTGATGATGTAACATTCTGTTAATTGTTACAGTCAAAACGATTATCTTCCAGTGCTCTATTCTACTATATAACCTGTGTTGAATAGTCAACCCAATTCTGCATTTAATGTTCAATGTTCAACTCTGTAGCTTTGTTATTTTGAACCCTACCCTAAAGACAAAGGTAATTCTGGATCATGCATTGAAGCAATCTGATCTTTGTGAAGGACTTATTGAAGGAACTAATCCGCTTTTGCATTGCATGTAGAGGAAAATTATGAAACCTTCCACAGTTAGCAAGACAGCAAGGGATTCTAACCCATAATCCATCTACTATTGAAGAAATTTATCTTCAGCACTGGGTTTGGTGCGAGCAGGAAGCAGAGTCTGCACCAACCAGCAAATGCTGGGATTCGAGCGGGGGTCATCTCATTGTGGGGCAAACTCAGTCTCTAGTCAGTATTCTGTTTATATTGAACAAATAGTGTCTTTCCCATGACCATCAACTGACTGTTGTGAAAGTAATTTACTTTTTAAAATATAGTCTATGCATAGTATAATGACCCCTGTCCTAGTAAATCTAGACGTTATTACTTAAGTCTCAGTAATAAATGCTGAACTAATTTTGACTAAACTGTGTTTTACAAACAAGGAAGAAAGAAAATTAGAAAATTAACAAAATAATTTTAAATAAGGCAACACGTTAAACATCACATTACAAAACCATTTTCTTATATAACATACATTCAAAAAACTGCTACGTCTAAACCAAGACAAGTCGAGACGAATATGGATACCTTATGTTTTAACTTAAAAAATAAAAAAATAGAAAATTAAATTTTCTTATAAGATAAGTGTGAGATAAAATTTAAAGATTGTGAAATTTTTTTGTTAATTTTTTTTGCTTATTTAAGGGTAGATATTGATATTAGTTTGTTACCTATAAGTACATTAAGTGCTGATAAATAATATAAGCTAAAAATGCTGTGATCTTGTTTATAATTTCAGAATCTTATGGAAGGTGTTTTGATGCTGAAAAGTTTAATTTCATTACATGAAAAGAAACTTGAATTTCATTCATCATTGAGAGATTTATATGAATCAAGACAGAGAACCATGGCTGCCAAAATAAAGTACGAAACAAATTTTATTTTTCTGGGAAGTATAATAGGAAGCTATAAGTCTGTCATCTCTTTTTAGATTAAGAAACCTTTCTTTTTTAACAATACAATACTACTATGCGATTGCATTTATTTTGCCTAGCTTCTCCTTTTGCCACTGTGGCACATGAAGCTTCGAACTTCTGCATCTACCTCTTTTTCTAGGACTACCTATCTAGCTAGAAGGTGTATTTTCCGTTTATCATATAATAATTATTTTTACTGATCCTCTTTTTCTTTGATCTTTATCTAAGATCAGATGGTTTCAAAAGATTTAGGTTAATACTTTCAAAATCATAGTTCAAAAATCATAGTTGTCCTGATTTTCCAGATCAAAATATTTTGTCTTGATTTTAACTTTGCTGAGGTTTCTAATTTTTGTGTGGTTAAAACATATTATTTTTTGCACATTTTAAAATAATCCTTTATTTTAAGAATCTAGATTTAGAGATTTTTAATTTTGCTCCGTTTTATTTTAATCGATAATGCTAGTAAAAATCAATTTTTCGATAGTTTGAACTTAGGGACTCGTCACTAATTACATGGTTGAGTCTTATTACCTTGCCAACAGGATTCATCATTTTCAAATCTTTTTAGACTTAGAACTTCTCATGAGAATTTTTTAAATATTTTTTTTATTGTCATCAATAAGGAGGATCATGTACGTTTTTGTTATTTTAGCGAATGCTGTAATATATCTTGTAGAATATAGTTTTGTAGTTTCACTATTGTTGATTTGCCTCTTTAATCTGATTTTAAAAATTATCGATACCAATTTCTAATACTGTAATCATGGATTTTTTTAATTGACGCATTTAAGGACCATTTACTAAATTACTTTTGCACAAAAATGTTGAGTTGCATATTCACTGATTTTTTGTTTAAAAATTATAAAAACCCTATTGAAGATTTTTTTTAAGGAAGTCTTGAATTCAATTTCAAATTTAAATAAAATATTGGTATGGGGGAATATTAGCTAATTGATATTGGTTGCTTTTTTTAATGTAACAGTACTGTAAAAAGTTTGTTTATACTCATCTCAAACTATTGTGATTTCAGCTCATTATTAGTAAAATTATACTGGAAAGTGCCAAAAAGTTCTGAACAAAGTAACTCTGAAATTAAATTAAAAATAGTATATATTAGTATACTTTTGGGATAACATTTGCTTTTATTATATTTAAGTGGAGCAAGTAATACTTTTTTTTATAGGTTTTGATTTGTCACTTGCAAATTTATCTGCTATATGTGTACTGTACAAAAAAAAAAAATGTCCTCACTTTTTTGAGAAACTGAATATTGATTTTTTTTTTTGGGTCATCTAATGAGATCTGAATTATTACTTTTTTTTAAAAATTTAAAGTACTATTTTTACGTTTTACTATTTTTCTACTGTTGAGAAAATTAGGCAAACCTAAAATAAACTCATTTATTATTCTTTATCTTTAGCTGATTCTATTTTAACTGTTTTCGTATATTTTATTGATTTATTTGTCGGCATTTTTATTTTAAATGTGTTACTTTTTTATACCTGCAACCATTTTTGTTTTGTTTTGTTATTTTTTGATTGAGATATCTTGTCGTCTTTCTTTATGTATTCTGTTCTTTAAATCTCTTTTAGCCGCTTTGAGCATCAAGTTTTGGCTGCTACCTATCATAAAAAAAGTATTGAAGCCTTATCTTTAATCAGGTATTTTGCTTTATTTATTTATTATTCGTAATTTTGCTTTTTTTTTTGTACAAATGCTATCTGAGGATTAGATTCTACTCAATTTAATTTCTAAACTTAAAAATACTCCATATCGCGGGAGAAATTTTTCATTGCAAATTTCACTTTGTTTTGAGAAATGCATCAGGTGGAGTGCCTCACTTCATTAATATCAAGTTTTTTTTAATCCATTAAAATTTTCAAGTTTCGAAAAAGTGGCCACTACTGGAATATCCTAATTTTGCCCTAGAAGATGCTTCTATATTTAAAGTATAATTAAACACAGGGATTTATTTTCAAGAATATTTTCTTTTCAACAAATATTAAAATATTTGACCTTAAACTTTATGTAAATATGCTATTTAAAATATGAATACAGCATATTTCCAAATAAAAGCCATTCAAGCCGAGGGAACGCTTGTTGTTTGAAAATTTGTTCAAAATTCATAACTTATCATAAGCCAATGTAAATAAAATAAAATGCGCTATCTTTGTGGGTAACTTTAAACTTCCCTTTTGGACTATCCAGCCTTTGTTCAGTTTGTTTGTTTACTTTTATACAGAAATAAAAGTCTATTGAAAGTCTCACCAATTCTTTTCTTCCTACTTTTGTTTTTTGCTCTCTTCTTAAGCGTTGAACTTATCAGTCCGGATTAACCCTTCAAACCCTTCTTGTCCCTTCAAAAGATTTTTAAGGCAGCCCTTATTTTAATGTTCGGACCTTCATATATATCATAGGCATTTTATTAATAATTCATCATCATCAACAAAATTTTGTACCTCAAAAGTGATTGAAAAAATAACAAATCAAGAATGTTTGCCTTGGCTTAAAAAATAATGTAGTGTATCTGCGTATAATCCTTTTTTTTATAAATGAAAATATAGTATTTTAACGTTAAGTTGACTTTTTTTCGCTGAGGAATGCTTGCAGAACATTTGTATAATTTAATAAGTCCTGTTGCAGAACATTTGAAAATATTCTGCTTCTGGGTGCAAAAGTTTAATGAAGTAGCAAGACACAACTCTAAATAAAGTGCAAAATTCTTTGAAATATTACTGTGTGTGGGTCCCGTACAAATGCCTCTTTTTAAAATGCCATAATCGTGCCTTCCTTTGATGCAAATTATGTTTCAGTGATCAATCAATCAATTAATGTTACTCTTATTTAATTTGTTTTTATTTCTACGCTAATGTTTGATAAATTTTAGGGCAGAACTAGATGAGAGAAAAACATCACTAGATAATGATATAAACAGTACCACCGCTAAGCTGCAAGAGTACCTTGTACTCGGACCACAGTACAACAGACTTGTGGAGGAGTATACTGAATTACTAAGACAGATCCAAAATGAAAAATGGGCTTTAGAATCTTTAAAGAGAAGAGAATCCTTTGGTGCACCTCTGTTTGTTGAAGAGGAATTAATAAATAGTTTTGACCTAGAACGCTCAGTGTTCGAAGAAACAAAGGATAACTCAACACTGGAGGGAACGGCAGATAGCTCAAAGTTAGAGGAAACAGCAAATGGCTCAAAGTTAGAGGAAACAGCAGATGGCTCAACATTAGAGGAAACGGCAGATGTCTCAACGTTAGAGGAAATGGCAGATGGCTCAACGTTAGAGGAAACGACAGATGACTCAAGGTTAGAGGAAACAGCAGATGGCACAAAGCTAGAGGAAACAGTGGATGACTCAAAGTTAGAGGAAACAGTGGATGACTCAAAGCTAGAGGAAACAGTGGATGACTCAAAGCTAGAGGAAGCAGCGGATGACTCAAAGCTGGAAGGAATTTTATTTAGTTCAACGCTAAGAGAATCGGTGAGCTGATCAACGTTAGAGAAAACAGTTGATAACTCAGTTCTAGATTAAACTCAATGTTTGATAAAAAAAAAAGTAGATTCACAAGAGTAAGTAATGGAATGTGTAGTAAGAAACGAGCATTGTGCCATGTAGAATTGTATTGTATGAGATATCACAGCTAGAGCTTACATTTATTCCTTTATAAGATTTATTTACACGAAATTCTTAAGTTGTAATTTAAATGTAATAATTTAGCTATTTTATTTATCAGCTAAAGTTCAAATTAAGTAATTTTTGTGTAAATATTTTTTCAATATTTAAAAATTTGTTTTGTTTCAGTTCAAGGAACTGTATCTAAAACACCATAGGTTTGGGTGTTATAAGTATTTTTGTATTAATAATTGTAATATAAATAAGTTGTTTGAATGCTATAAATATTTTTATATTAACATTGTTGTTTGAATGCTGTAAATATTTTTATAAAATTTTTTTTTGTCTGAAAGCTCAAAATATTTTCATACTATAATTACTGCATTGTAAAATTTATTTTTTTAAATAACTAACCTACTTAGTCTAAACTAATTAAAAAATTTCAGCTTTATTTCAAAGAAATATTTTTATTAGATTGGTGTAAGGTAAAATTAAAATTTCTGTGGTTTTTAAAAACTTTGTTCAATGTTTTTCTGAAATTTTTACAAGGAAATTTAAGTGCTACAAAATTTTGTTTTATTTGTGCATAGCTGTCAACTTTATTGCACTTTCTTTGTGACCATTGGATTTCGTGATTTTATACTGAAATGTTTTTAAAATTTTCCTAACAAATAGAATTCTTCTATCTTTTAGTGATATATTTAATTTTTATTAAAGAATTTATTTTAGAACATACTAAATATGTATGTAATTTGGGTTTTGCTTATTTTTAAAAATTTTAATACATAAAAAAATAAAATTGAATAAATTTTAATTGAAATTTATATAAGAGTCTGTCATAAAAATTTTCTAGAGTGTGTTATAAGTTGAAAACAGCCAAATGTTGTTAAAAAGAAATATCCGATTAAATATTTACATGTGAATCCTCCATTTTTTCATTGCACATCTGGATTCTTTAGAGAAAATTACTTTTGTTTGTCTTAAATGTTTTGTATTTCGATTAACAGATGGCACTGTAATTGATAAACGTAAAGTTAGGTAATGAGCTGTTCAAAACACAGTTCATATTTGAGATTTTGAAGTCTAACTCCATTCCACTCTTTTTTGAAAATATTTGTCACATGTATTTTTAGGTATTATATCTAATGTCTATCAGGGTGCGTAGCCTTTGTAAAAAGTACTTAAAGGTGCTTTTTGGGAGATTTCGTTTTTAAAAGCTTTTAAAGGTGCTTTTTTCAGCTGGCGTTTTTAAAAAAGGCTTTTTTTTCATGAATAATTATTTTTTTCCTTCAGTGATATCTGGCGGATTTTACGAAAAATGGGGTGTTTGCTACGTAATCATTCACACGGACTTCATGTCGTACCCACGTTATGACTTGCGCATGCGCGCACACTCGAAACTGAAACCCGAGTGCTCCAATTCGGATCGAGTCAGATCCTTATTAAATGTTTTTCTTTTTAATATATAATTTTATTCTTGTTTATTTTATTTTACTTCTAACACTTTTTTGATGTAGGGGGTAAGGGTACTTTTGTTCTGAGTTCAGAGTCAAGTTGAATTCACTCGGTGATGTGGGAAAGTACTGATTGTTTCGTTTTACGTCCGTTTCTTTTTGAGTTTTTTTTTTAATGCTAAAACTGCTAATAAAAAGTTTTTGTTTTTCAATAATATCATTGATTCAATATGAGTGCTTGAAAAGTTTTTAAAAAGTGCTTATTTTTGATTCAAAGATTTGGCTACGCACCCTGTCTATATTTTGACATATTTGACCATTTCTATATTTTTTGGACACCCTTTATAAGTGTAATATGATATGCAAATATGTTTTGCATTACATTTTTTTGAAATTAAAAAAGGACAAAATAATACTTATATTTTTTAAGTTTGTAAGAATGAATAAAATGAATCAGATTCTTATGTCATCAAATTATTTGTGCTAAAATGTTTGCATACTTGTGTTTTTTCTTTTTTTTTAAACTTCAGCAATACATTTAATTTAGATTTGCTGATAATTGTGTTCAACTGACATTCTGTTTAAATCATTCATGCTTTAGTTTGTTGTGCATATTCATATACATAACTTGTACATAATTCTTTTTGTTTTAAATATTAAACAGTACTTGTAAGAACTTTTAAACATGTATTTATAGTTAGCTGAATTTATTATGCTTTAGTTTACAGTTTATGTGAAACTAGCCATTTGACAAAAATAATTTATTTAATTTAGAAAAGTGAGATTTTCTTGATTGTAAATATTATTTATTTTACCTAAGTTTAGCAAAGTAAAATTTTCATCATTATAAATTTGTTTCTTTTGTTGTATTATTTGCTTTTGTTATTAAATAGTTGAACAATTTTATTTGGAATTATTTGAAAGCAGTTTATTGCTTTAACTCTTCTGTGAAAAAATTTGTGTTAATACTTGGCTGTCAACTTTATGGATTATCATTAAGATTGCAATTTTATATTTAACATGGTAGCAAAATGTATGCTTTATTTATTTTTTTCTGTTGGCATTATTTAAATCCCTTGATTTTTTATTTTTTTAAAGAGTCATTGATTTAAATTACTTGATTTTTTTAACAATTAAACATCAATTTAAATAAGAAATATTTTATACTCTATGCTTTATAAATAAATTCGTAAGTTTTTTTTTTTTTAAAGCCTGATTTCATTAATATTAAAGATTTTTACGGGGTAGCTATGCTACCTTGACAATCAGGAAACCTTCTCTTATGTTTCCTGATCTAAATAATTTTTCTCCAATTTATCTAACTGACTCATTAGATTTTTGTCTACAAATTCATGAGTGTTTTGAGCTTGAATAAAAATAACTATGATTTCATTTGCTCATACATTTGTTTGTAATAATTATCTAGTAGTTTTATCCATTTTAAGCTAGAAATATTAATACTTTTTATTATAATATTGTTTTTTTTTAATATATTCGTTACAAAATTTTGCTGCTATAATGGAAAAGGCACTTCCATTTTTTTGACATTTTAAATTTCTCAATAATTATGTGGAGGACTATTTTGTAACTTTAGAAGTGTTTAGTTCATGCAATTTTTCATACTTAGCAATATGGTTTAGAGCTTTTGGATGCACTTTGAGGAACCGATAATATATTACTAAAGAAACGAAATATTTTTGAATACCCTATGCCAGAAAATCAAGCTATGAACTCGTAACTCGTATCAATTACTTAGGTTGTTATTTACAATAACTGCATAAAATTTTGTGAACTTCGTTTGAATATTTATGGAGATATGGACATTTTCATAAAAAGTAATTTTTATGTCATATGTTTTTGTTGCTATAGCTAAAAATATTTAATAAAATTAATCAAAATTTTTGGAGCAGTTTAAAATTATTTACAAAATTATTCTTTTTTAAAATTAGAAAAAATACAGGCTCTAATACCGATATAGTGTGTTCGAGAACTAACCAAATGATAGTTAGCTCGAATATGTCTATAAAAACATTGTAGATTTAAGAACTGATCAAAAAATATGTAGTTTCTAAAAATGAGCAAATGATAGTGAATTCGAGTTTTGAATAAAATAAAAAACAGTTGGTTTAAGTATTAAAAAAATACTAACTGGTTTGAGTACCAATAATAAGACAGTGGTCTCAAATTTGAAATTAAAGAGAAGCTTTTCGGAAATAAATCGGGTGATAGTGGGCTCAAGTAAGTATTAAAAGATAGTGGTTTAAGATACCGATAAAAAGAGAGTGAGTTCGAGAGCTAATTAAGTGATAATTAGTTCAAAAAACAACCTGAATTTGAATACAGATCAATGAAGGTTATGATTTCTAGAACAGATTGAGTGTTAGAGTTTCCAAGTGTATAAAAAAGCGGCAGTGAGGTTATACTGACTAATTGTAACTGGGTTCAGTATCGATAATACTATAGTGTGTCTGATAATTGAAAAAAAAAAAGAGTGGGTTCTAAAAGTTCGAGTACGGATCAAAATAGAGTGGAATTAAGTAATGTTCAATTACGAGGAAGTCGGATTGAGTCCAGTTTAAAAGAGTTTTTTCGAGCACTGATAAAAGGAGTGATAGATTTCTTTTTATTTTAACAAAATAGAATTGTTTAGAAATCGTTAAACTGATGTGGGAAATTTTTTTTCTTTCTAATTCCCACCTGTGTCAACATCCGTCAATTCAGGCATCTACAGGGCGATTTTGTTGACCTCTCTTACTGGGGCACCATGTTAGGTGGGCCAACGTCGCTCCCACAGTATGGACAGATAGTACAGAGAAGGAAAGAACGTCCATGCCTTGCCCGGGATTCGAACTCAGAATCTTTCTGATGCAAGGACAATTCCCTGCCCCCTACACAAGCCGGTCGGCGGTATGGGAACAAATATCGATAAAAAAAATAGCGAGTTAGAGTGTTGATAAAAAGAGAAGTAATTAAATGATAGTTGGTTCGTATACTTATAAAGACATCATGGGTTCGGCATTAATGAGAATGTGTAGTTTCTAAAACTGATCGAATGATAGTGGGTTCGAATACCAAGAAAAAAGAAAAGACAGTCAGATAGCACTGATAAAATGATACCGGGTCTCATTACCGATAAAATAATAGTGCGTTCGAAAAGTGTTTAAATAATAGTGTTTATTTGAGTACCAATTTAAAGATAGGGGTTATGATCAACTGAATCGTATTATGATCAATTGATAGTAGGTAGGTTCGAGTACTGATCAAATGATAGCGGATTTGAGTTCTGATACAAAATAGTGGTTTCGAGTACCGATAAAAAGATAGAGGATCGAGAACTGACCCAATGAAAGTTGATTCGAGTATACCTATAAAAATGTCGTAGGTTGGAATACTAATCAACAAAGTATGTGGTTTTTAAAACTGATCAAATTATAATGGGTTCGAGTGATGATGAAAATACAGTGGTTTCGAGTACTGATCAAACGATAG